GGGAAATGATAATGCAGACTCGATTTTAAATGCTTGGCACTTATAATATCTCAGAGAACCTGAATGGAATAATAAACAATGGTTATGAGCTTGCTAGGAATCCATTTTGTATGCGGGGTTTCATCCAACCAACAATTATATAAATACTCTAGCTCTAGAAAATTGGTGGGATGCTAAAACTACAAATGTGATCTGTGTCATTTCCCTAATGGGCCAATTATTTTGATGCCTCCTTTTCCCCTTGGAGGCATCTTAACAGCACACTTGGCCAACTTCTTACTTCTGGCCAACACTGCTCTTAAATACCAGAACCCTCCTGCCTTAACTCTCTCCAGATCTCCAGAGACATAAACCTATATTGAGCACTTCCTAGGTGCCAGGCCCATATGCTCTCTTATTTAATCTTTACAGTAACCCTGCCATAAGTTCTAGAATCCTCCTTTCACCAGGAAGAATCTGACCTGCCGCCTGAGCAATCTGCCTCCAGCCCTCTCCAGCTCCTGAGGGTAGAGGCAGGATTCAAATCCAGATCTGGTTTCCTCTGCTGTCCTCTCTCTCTGCACCATACAGTTTCCCCCAGATGTCTTCCCTGCTGTCACCTTGCGCCCTGAAGTCTCTTTTGTCCAGACGGGTCTTTAGGCAGGGGTTCTCCTTCCCAGCTTCCACCAGACAAAATCCCATCCCCTCTTCCAAACCTTCTGGGTGCTCCCCTCCCCCTCCATAGACCTCAGACCTCCTATCAGTGTGACCTCTGCTTCCTGGGAATTCTCCCCGCCCCATAGCACTTGGGACTTTCTATACTTTACCGGGGCTTTTCGTATCCTTAAGTAACCTATCTTATTTTCGATTTTCAGTCGAAGAGAAAAAAGACATTGATTGCACACTTAACCTTGTCGTAGGAGTTCTTGTCCTCTAAGCCCGCCGTGTTACCGATGGAGAAGCCGGGCACACAGTAACCTGAGGTCCTGGAATGAAATGCAAAACTAAAAGACAAGAAGTAGAAATTATTGGCCATTGCTCCCGTTGGGAAATTAGCATATGGCACAGGCGTCAATCAAACGTTTGTGGAGTGAATTAGCGAATGGACGAATGAATGAACGAATGAATGAATATTTGAAGACTGGCTTACATAAAGAACTTAGTGAGAAATGGTATGGATCGGAGAGCTGAAGAACCCTGAAAAATACATATTCCAAGTACTTAATAGGGTTTAGTGGCTGCAGAAAACCCCAAACATTGAAACAAACCCGGAATAAAACAAAAGGGCTTCCCTAACACTTTCACAAGTAGACGCGTGGTTGCGCGCACCCGGTACAGAAGAGGCATTTGCAATCTACACAGTTCTCTCCTTCGGAAAGCTCTAGAACACCGGCGGGTTTTTGTTCCTAAACTTCGGCCGCGGAGGCGGGCGGGCGCCTGTCCCTTTAAGAATCTGGTCAAAGTCTTTTTCCTCTCCCCGCCCCGCCCCCTCGCGGTGCCGGCGCGGCCCGGGCGCCCCACCCCCTTCTCCCCGATGCGGGCTGAACTACGGGTTCGGCCGACCATCCGTCACAGAGGCGCGGCTTCTGATTGGCTTCGCGCCGGGAAGGCGGGGCGGGAAGGCCTGAGAAACTAGTTTGTTGGCGGCGCCGGGGCTGAACCGCAGCGGCGGCGCGCTCCGGCTGTGGCGAGCCGGGGGAGGGGAGCGGCGGCGGCGGCGGCGGCGGCCCGGGCTGTGGAGCCTCGCGCGGGGCCTCTGAGCGCGGCGGCGGACCCGGGGTGACGAGCGCGGCGGGCGGCGGCGCCCCCAGCGGTGAGTGGCGGGGCCGGGCCGGGCTGGGAGGGGGACGCCGGCCTCGGGCGGGTCTAGCCGCGCGCCCCATTCTCCGGGCTGGCACTTGTCACCGTCACCCTCTCCCCCGGGTGGGGACCGGGGGTGCGGGGCCCTGCGCGCCCCGCCGTGGGAACCCCCGGCTGAGGGAGCCCCCGGGGGGCCGCGTGCCCCGGCAGCCGTGGCGCCGTCCTCGGGGCCCCGGACCGCACCGACCGCCGCGGGGTCTCGGGGGCTGGAGTCGGGGACAATGGTGGGGTGGGAGGGGGCTGGCGTCGGCCACCTCCTCTCCAGTCCCCGCGCCTGCTCCCGCCCCGCGCGTGCCTGCGGATCCGGCGAGGGTATTTGCAGAGAGTTCCCGGCGAGGGAATGAATTGTTTTGCAAATGGATGTTGCGCGCGGGAGCTACAACTCTTTCCCTTGGGAGTGGTTGATTCATTGAGTCCGCAGACTCTCTTTTTAAAAAATTACTATCGATCCTGGAAAGAGGAGGCTGCTTGTGTGTGAGGATGTGAGCGGCTGGGCTCCGCGCCCGGGCTGGGCGAAGTCCCCGCGCCCCGGACGCCGAGGGCCAGATGGCCGCCTGCCTCGTGGGGGCGAGGGCCGGGTGGGGGAGGTAACCAGGGCAGTGTCCCCCGTCCCCGTGCCCCCGGCCGCCCACGCCTTGCCTGACGGGACCCCTCGTCTCCGCGTGGAGAGCTGTGGAGCAGCGGGGCAGTGGTCACACGCTGCTAAGTCCCACCCACCTGCCCACCGAGGCGGCGCCCCCCTGGCAGGTCCGGAGCGAGCCTTCTCCGGCCTGGCAGTCCTCTTCCCCACATCCTGCCCCAGCTCTTGGACCGCATTTGGGCACGACCCCCGGTTCCTTCTTTTCCTCCTCTAGTTGCTTGAGAAGCTTTTCCTTTCATAGACTGTACCCCTAGGGGCAGCGGACGTTTTTTTGTGCCGCCGCTTCGAAGTCCCCAAGGTGCGTTTTCCCTCTCTTTGTGCAAAGAAAAGTCTTTATAAAACCCGATCAAAGGGATTGGGGTGGAGGGCGACCCAGGCCCCTGCAGTTTTAAGCTGGGCACTCTTGGGTCCTTCTGACTTGCTTTGAGCAGGAGAAAGGCTGCCAGAGCTTTGGCCGTCCCTGGTGAGCCAGGAGGGAGAACACCAGGTGTCTGGGCCTTCTGGTTTCCACTCTGGCCATGTGAAGAGTGAAGTTGCCGAGCAAAGGGGTGTGGGGGGAGTGGGGGGGAGGCAGGAACCAACCAACCCCCTCACCCCCGTTCTTATCATACACCAGACTATGGTGACAGTGATGTGGCATCAGGTCCTTTGGGACCCTTGACTTCAGTTGACTAATTGAGTCTATGCCCTGACTTCTGTCTCCCCCTTCCTAGGTGGGACTGATGCTCAGTGGGCCCAGGTGTGCTGTTAGGATTCCTAGGGACTGTTGTTAAAGACTCACATTTGGGGGCTGGGGGCAAGTGGGGAGTAGGACACAAGGTCCATCCCACCCCGGACAGATTTGGTATCCTTCTGAGACCAGGGATCCTGGGGTCCCCAAGCTGTACCTGAGGAGGGTGATGGAGTCAGTCAGTCTTCTGGGCCTGGCAGCCCTCTTGGTCTTGAGTTATTCTGTTTGCCAGGAAGTGACTCCTGGGAGGTTGCTAGAAGGAGGTAGAGAGAAATGGTAGAAACCTTCATCCTGGGGCTGGGGCTGCAGCTGGATTTATGTTTGTGGTGCAGAGAGAGGGGCTGTGGGGGAGCTGCACACTCAGCATCTGAGGCAGCCTCTGCAGCCCCTTCCTCCCTAAAAGCCTCTCAAACCTCTGGGCACTCAGTGTGGGCGGAGGAGAGCAGGAGGCCGAGGAAGATGACCCAGGCCTGGGACTTGGAGGTCTGCAGCAAATTCGGGCTGGCTTCTTCCCTTCTAACACGCTGATGCTCCAGGGGACTGGGGAGGGAGTATTTCTCAGTGAGCGGTTTGTTTATTCATTTGTTAGTTGACTAATTGAGTCTATGTTGGAAGGGCCTTGATCAGGGCCCTGTACTCTGGGAGCTCCTAGACAAGGGTGTGCTGGCCCGTGGAGTGGGGCCCTGGCTCATGGACACACAGGTGTGTGCACAGTACCCCCGTGATAGAGGCAGCAAGGGGAGCTGAGGGGAACGGGTGGCAAAGGCTTTTAGAAGCGATGATGCCTTGGCAAAGTAAAGGTGAGAAGGGCATGGCAGAGCCCTGAGGCGGCGGCCTTCTCCCACCACCCACCTGCACTTCTCCCAGAAGCTAGTGCCTTGCAAGTTCAAGGCAGATGCAGGCTGAGGTCCGGGAGAATGCAAATGGGAGGTGAAAGAGGGGATCATCTGAGACTGTGGAGTCAGCAGCCTCAGGAGTCTCCGGGAGATGAATGCCTTCTGGATCAGCCTCTCTGCACAGGGGGTCCTGGGAAAAGCCACCCCACCGGCCCCGAAGACCAGCCCGTCCCCGTCGTCTGAGCCCACATCTGTCCGGACCAGCCTGCAGCGTGAATGTGGCCTGGCCAGGGAGGGGCGGACAGAGCCTGCAGGAGGAAACAGAGTGGCCAGACGCAAATGAATTGGCTGGTTGAGATGCTGGTTTTCATCTAATGTGGTAAATTTCATAATTGAATGGCCTCAGGCAGCCAGAGCTATTGAAGCATTTTCCCAGCCAGAAAACACTTAGTTGGGACAGCTTGGGGGTGGGAGGGGCAGGGGGTGGAGGCAGTATGTGTGCATCTACAGCTTTTACTCACCTCATCCCAGGAGGGCCTTCCCGTCCGTAATCTGGGTCTGCCTGCCCCTCCCCCCCAACCCCACACCCCACTGCAGCCTTCACAGCAGGTCCCAGCCTTGTTCCTGGACCACCTGGCCTCTGAGCACCAATGCCCCTGTCCCAGTCAAAAGGTACCTGTCACCTGCAGGCAAGGCTGACTCCAGGTCCCCGGGCTGTGGGGATGGGGATGGTGGGAGCAGAGAGATAGCTCAGAGATGGGCAGGCTTCCTGTTAAGTCTCTTCTGCGCAAGACTGGGGAAAACAGCTTGGGCTCAAGAACCAGACTTGGATTCAGATGCTGCCTGTTTATCTGTGATCTGTTGGGCCCCAGCCACCTCTACCCACCCTTTCCCCCTCCCTCTGGTGCCGGGAGACTCTGTTCTTTCTCACTGCTGAGCCTTTCCTTCTGAGCCCCGGCCATGCCCTTTGGAGGAACAAAGGTAGGCATATGTGGCTCATTGACCTGTTCTTCAAAGCACTGGGTTAGTAGCGAGAAACCCAGTTTCATTGGGAAATCTCACCCCGTTTCCTCACAGTGATCTCTGGCACCCCTGGGGTGTATACGAGTCTGGACCAGGCTGTCCCAGCCACACTGTTGTAATGGGACTGAGGTTCAAGACCAACTCCACCTCTTCCCCATCCTACAACAGTTGGAACTCCTGGAGCCTGTTGGCAGAACGAATGCTTAAGTGAGGATCTGAGAATCCTCCTGTGCCTCTGTGTGTGTGATTTCATGTAGGTCCCCTTACCTCTATGGACCCCAGCTTGTCTTCTCGAACATGTGTGGATGCTCTTCGGTGCAATGCTTCTGTTAGGTGTTTTGCTGTAAAATCCCAGAAGTCCTTACAGCCTCTGATGTCATGTAATTTTATAGGCTTGAGTTATTTGCCTAGCCTACTGGGGCAGGAAGAGATAGAGAGCAGCCAGTGGAGTGTGGTGGGACAGATTAGAAATCAGGAGTCTAGACTTCCTGCTCTGCCTCCGATGTGTGCTGTGGGGCTCTGGGCAGGTTGCTTTCCCTCTCTGGGCCCTAATTTTTCCTCCTGGAGAACTAGAAGTGTATACAGTAGGCAAGCTCCCAATTTTCTTTCCTTTCTTGATGAGTGGAAACTGAGTCAGACTTTCCCAGTTTCCCAGGCCTCCCTTGGCTCCCTGTCTCTGCCCTCTGCCTTGGAGTCCAGGGCCTAGGTGTAAAGGTACTGGTGCCCATGGATGAGGGGCTAGTGATGCCAGAGGACTGGGTCAAAGAAGAAAAAAATCTGGGCCCAAAGGAAGGTGGCAGGTGCATGGCTTACTTCCCAAAGTTGCTCTGTCTGGTCCCAGGCAGGGACCCGGACAACAGGTGTGGGAGCACTTAGGCTGACACCTCTGTCCCAATCCCAAAATGGATGGGTTGGGATCTAGGCCACAGGTGTCCCTGGGGCCACTTCCAGGAAGAGAGATGGGCACAGATCTCCCAAGATTGGTAGGGATCGTGAGTGAGCCTAGGGGGACAGGAGGAGGACGCGAGGCTCCTACACATCAGACTTTGCCAAGGAGGCGCCTGCAAGACCTGTTGGATTGCTCTTCCCACAAGAAGGTGGGGGCTGAGCCGGGCCGTGGGAGAACCGCATCTCTGTTGCCAGAGGGAGGACTACGTTCGCCTTGGGTGTCATTTCCCACCCACTTCTGCCTGCCCAGAAGATACCTTCTGCCGTCAGCCGATCCGTCGGAGTAGGATGCAGGGATAGGATAGAAAAAAAAGCCTTGTTTATTTTCTACCTGTTCTTGTTGGGCCCCTAAGGAGAGGCTGACCACAGATCAATCTAGGCTGAATGGAATTAATTTCCTAATTACGCTAAGAGGAGCCTTGCTCACTCAATTCTAGGATGAGCTGCCTGCCTGGTTTACAGGTGGCCAGGCCAGGATCGAGGGCCAAGAGACACAGGAGCTCTTTTTCTAGAAAGCCATTACATCCAGCATCCAGAGTTCGAGTTCTGCTGTGTGCTACCAGATCTGTGAGACCCTGGGTAACAAGTCCTTTAACGTGTGCAGCCTCTGTTGTTCACAGTGTTGAAAAGGGGAGGAACCATACAGTTCCATTCATGCAGCAAGCCTTCATTTGGCACCTTCTGAATGGCCCATCCTGGACTAGAAACCAGGAAAAAAGAAGTCAGGTTCAAAGAGAGTCCTTTCTTGGAAGTTCAGTCTCTGATGTGTGAGGCAGACAGGTAGTTGTTGTGGCGTACTGCTAAAGAGTGAGTGGCATGGCAAGAGTGTGCCTCAGTCTCCCCATTGGAGAGGTGAAGAAGTAGACTGTCCCTTGCATCTCCATTCCAAATGGGTCCAATGAATATTTTTTGCCATCTGTTCTCTACCAGGCTCTGGGATGCAGCAGAAGAAAGGCCAGGTCCCCACCATCCTGGAGCCCCTATTCAACTGGGGCCAGGTAGACTAAATAGAGCTGCCGTTAGGGCTCCTGGACGTGGATGAGGAAGAAAAGGTCAAGGTGGGTGACCGAGGGGGCCTAAGGAAGGCTTCTCTGGGCCGGTGACCTTTGAGCGGAGACCTGTAAGACTGGACGGAGGCACCCCTGGGAAGATCTGAGGAAGGGCATTCGGGGCAGGGAACAAGTGAGTGTACAGACTGGGAACAGCATGGGCCGAGGCGGGGACCTGGCTAGAGATAGTGGCTGTCAGCACCCGCTGTAATCTTCTGATTCCTAGGGAGGCCAAGGAAAACACGTCCCTTTAAGCTGATTAATTGTTTGCTTTAACTTGGGTAACACTTAAGTAGATTCCCTTTATAAACGCACAACGAGAGAGAAAATGCAGCATGGCCTGGAAAGTCCCCCATGTCCTTGGTATCTGTCAGCGGTTTGACGCACCCCCTTCTGGCCACCCTTCTTCTGTGTTTCTATCCACAGCTTCTGTGGCCCCGTGTGTGGTGACACTCCTGTGCATCTTACAGCTGCACGACGCTCCGCGTGGGCCAGTCACTGGCTTCCATCTCAGCCTCTCCGAACATTAAGTCCTGTCTGACCGCCTCCCCCCTGCCCCTTCGTACAGTCCATGAAGTCCTGTGTGTCCTGGATTGTGCATCTTTCTGATTTTTAAATGTTTATTGTCAAAGCCGAATGCCTTTCCCAAGATTCAGGCAGGCCACTCAGCCACCGGTGGTGTCTGGGGGCCTATTTGCCCACATCCTCACCCACACTCGATAATTCTTGATATTATCTGTGTTTTCACTTTTAGCTCCTGTGATGGGGGGTGCAGGTGCGGGTAGGTAAAGATCTCATCATTCCTTTAAAACAAGCAAACAAACAAACAAAAAAATTCCAGTTCATCCAGGCTTCCTCTTTGTTTTCATCCACCTTTGTTTTTTCCAGAATGTCGAGGTTTAGCAGTTGCTGGCTCTGCCTCTGACTGGTCTCCTGACCTCCAGTGCAGCTTCATCTGTGAAATGAGGCCCTTTCAGTCCCTGCCCTGCCCCCCGTCAGGCTACTGTGCGTTGCTTGTGGCACATGGGAAACATTCCTGAAAGTTCATTTTATGCTGAAAAGTTCTGCAAACATCATGGGTTTTACTAGCGAGAGCTAGATATTTGAAGCCCAGAACATGTGAGTGAACCCGAGTGTTTCTGAACAGCCGGTGTGTCTAGGGGAGGGACGGGGGGTGGCTTTAGGTGGGACATCTGCCTGGCATCCCTCACGTGTCCTGAGAGAGACGTCAGAGGGCTAGCCGAGTGGGTAGGTTTCTCCCTGTCTGACCTGCAGGAATGAAGGAAGGAGCCAGAAGGGTAGAGAAAGATCTGTAGCCCTCCCATAAAAAGGCTCTGAAAGGGGATTGGTCATCACAGGCTGATCCCCCTATTTACCTGCTGGCCAGACTCCTAGAACTTTACAGAGTCCCATGTTAATTACTTTGGGGGTCCTTGTCTGTTTTCCTGTAAGAGGAGGCTTTATAACAAATAAAAGATGGACAAAAGGGCCCATGTATTTGATGTGGAGACAGAAGGATGGCGAAGGTCCAGAGATTGGTAGAGAAGGAAAGGAGAAGTCTGGGGCCTCAGAAAAACACGCCCATGTGATTCCTGGGTGGCATCAGGCCCTACAATGGGGGACCCGGGGGCTGGAAGCCTGTGTCCTGGGCCACTGGAGGAATTCATGACTGCCGGGAATCCGGTGCCTGGGGAAACTTTAGCCAGACTCTCCTGTCATTCCCCAAGTGGACTCTAACAGCTCACCCCCTCTACTCCATGGGCGGCATCTAGCTGGCCTGAGCCCGGTCGCCCTGGGGATGACTCAGACCTAAGCCCTACTGGAGACTTCTGTCATCCCCCCAGCCCAACCTGGTGAGGACGGCTGCCAGGGACAGAGGGCTACAGAGAGGGAGGTAGACAGACATGGGAGAGCGTAATAAAGAGCAGATGCATAAGGGGGCCACGGGACCTCCAAAGAGCCTTGGTCGGGGGCCTCTCCTCTCTGTAGTTCTGCAGTTAGTGAGCAGGAGGAGAGGGCGGTGGGGGCAGGTTTGTGCATTTCTCAGACATCTCTTGATGCCGAAGGTTGGGATTTTCAGGAAAGGGGCGAGGGGAGCATCTTGGGAGCTGAATTGAAGGTGTTTCACCGGGGAGAGGCTTGAGGGGGCTACCTTTGCTGGGTGCCACCTGCTGCCAGCCTGAGCCCAGCTCGCAGGCGTTTCCTGGAGCTAGCGTGAGACCCGATTGCCAGGTTTCCTTTCAGGCCCTGACACGGGCTGGTGTAGCTGTGCTGCGGGACGTCGCAGCTGCTATTTTTACCGCTCCAACTAGGACTTTTTACAGGAAGGTACAATTACAAGCAAAATGTCAGGGTTTGGTTGGCCAGCCGAGCCCTGGGAGGCTGCCGCAGGCTGAGGCGGGGGCCACTGCGTGGTCGGGTGGTATGTAAAAAGTGAGACACTTTGCACGTGGACGCGTACCTCCCCTGGTCGCCGAGTTGGCTTCTCCTGACCGCTGGCAGTGTCTGGAGTTCTCCTCTAGGCCAAAAAGCGGCCCATGCCGGGTTTTGCCCAGATAATTGCACCTGAACACCTTCTAACCGGCTGTCATGGGACTGAAGCCAACCAGCTAAGCCATCCCGTTCCCGAGCGCCCCGGAAGCTGACACTTTGTTCAGTGAAATTATCGAGAGCCTTCTGTATGATGCCTGCACTGCTAAGTGGTAGAGTAGACGCGAGTCAGACAGTCCCGGCTCTCAAGCAGCACCTGTGAAGTGATTAAAGATACAGAAGGTATGAATGTTCCCCAGGCCCTTTGAACAAGCACTTGGTATGCTTTTCCGCATATGCATGGTGGTTTGCGACCGAGCGGGGCTTCTGTTAGATCCTGTTGCTGCGTAACAAATCACCACCAATGTAGTGGTTCAGCTGTGCGTGCTTATTAGCTCATAGTGCTGGAGGGCAGAAGCCTGAGCTGGCTGC